TGTCTGTGTCCATTGGTTATGCATATAGGTTCTTTGGTTTATCTCTTCCCACCTCCCCTCCCAAAAGCTTTTAGCCAAAACTGTTAACAAATTGCCCAAGTGTGAGCTAGTAAGAGAGCACAGGACACATTCACAGACTATGTAACACAGAATATAAGGGGGCTGAAATATAAAGGAATTTACACCCACTTCCAGCTCTTCTCAGGACCCCGCTGGGTCCAGAGACAGTGCCCTTTGCCATTCCTGGGGAGAGCAACAGCTACGGCAGGAAAGGTTTGCATCAGAGGCTGCCTGGATCCCTCTCCTGTCCTCCCTACGGAACCAAGTCCGGAAAGTCTGGGAGAAAGGCAAAGCACAAAACACAACCTCTTCCCCTGGGGCGGGGCTGGGACCCTGAGAAGGCCACGCCTCCAAGCCCAGAGACAGTGACTGCCTGAGGCTGAGGCCTAGCCTGGAATCACTGTGCTGCATACCAGAAACGAATATAATGCTGCATGTCAACTCTGGTTTTAAAAATATTTTTTAAGACCTTAGCTTATTCTACACAGAAAGAAAACATAAATACTGGATGGGGAAAAAAAATACCCAGAGCGTATCCGCACCTGCCTCCCGTTAGCAGACTAGAAAGCAGAGTAAGAAGAAACACCGTGTGGACCCCCAAGTTCCGGTGCGAAGACAGATGTGGCAGCGAAGCCCGGGCAGGTATGAGGAAGGCTCCCTGGCCAACCAGCCCCACCCGAATGGGAAACATCCGAGGACCTGGACCCTTCAGTGCACTGACGGTGCCCAGAGCGACAATGCGTGTTCACTGTCACTCACGGGAATTCTGTGTACGTAGAAACAGTTGCTGCGAGTACTGAACAGAACGAGTTCACGGGCAATCGCAGGCTACAGAGACCTGAGCAACACGATCAACTGAGTTAATTTAACTAACATTTGTAGCATACGCCACCCCGCTGACCTGGGTACGTGGTCTTTTCAGGTGCACACAGCATTTCCTCCAGGATGGATCACAAAATATCACAACCAGGTGACATTCATATTCATCCTGGGGACACAGACCTGCTTCCGCTTTGAAAGTAAAAATAATTTAGCATGTCCACAGACTAAAGAAGGAAAAGTATATAATAATCTCAACGAATATAGACTGTTTTTACAAGCACTATCTATAATGTATCATAGTTCTCTGTCCACAAAAGAAAAGAAATACTTAGGTATCAACCTAAGAAAATATATATAAACATTTGTTCAAAATTCAGTGGTGTGAAAACATGATTACAACATAATACTGAATGAGAAAAGTGAGGTATAAAACAGTATGCACTGTATGGCCAGAATTTTATAAAATAAACTCAAAATATTTTTCCATAGGAAAAAAAGGGGTAAAATATAATAAAGGTCTTTTTAAAACATCTCCTTGGTTTCTCACTCTTACCAAGACAATCATGAAGTGTTTCAAGGAAAACAAAACTGAAATTAATATAAATAATTTGTAAAGCTCGGCTGCCACCAATTATTGTATAATCCACTTCAAGAAGTCTCTTTCAATCAGTTCCCTTGGAACTAGATCCACGTACTCCTAAAACCATCCACTGGAAATCAAGTTCTGTGGTCAAATATGTTTGGAAAGCATTAATTTAATAAATCGGTTTCTTGATTGCGGAGCTAATTTGAAGGTCCCGGTGTCAGTTGGGAAATTCAGGGGGTACAGTTTCCAGAGTTTCCCAAGTTCATGCGAAGGCGGAACCTGTGGAGGGAGGAGTGAAGAGGGGGGAGCCGGGAAGGGAGAGGAGACAGCTGTTTGGGCTAACCTGTGAAAGCAGGGTACCGACGTCACATTGTTTCCCTCCTAAGCACTTCAGTGTGTGCCTCCCAGGGACAAAGGACATTCTGCTACTCGACAGCAATACCACTGTCACATCAAGGAAAGTTAGATTATTTCCCGAATAGCATCTAATACCTAGTCCAGACACAAAATTTCCCATTATTCTCAAAAAACAAAAATGTCTTTGATGGCCAGTTTTTCAAGCTTCCCAATGTTAAATTTGGATACTTCCTTCTAATATAAAATCACATCCTGCTTTTTTTATGACCTTTGGAGACTCGTCTTATTGAACTATAGAAATCCCACGTTTTGTCTGGCTATTTCTCCCTGGTATTTATCCAGCTTGCTCCTCTGGTCCGTGTCTTTCCTGTGCAGTGACACTTACATTTGATGACTTAATTAGGGTCCTGGTGAACATCTTTAGTGAGGATGTTCACAGGTGGTGGTGTGTTCCTCATCTCACATCATCAGGAGACACCATGCAGGTCACCCCACTGCCAAACTGCTACGTCTGATCCGTGGTTCCGGTGGCGACAGTCAAGTCTCTGCTGCAAAGGTACCTCTTCCCTTGGCTGCTGGCACGTCCACTGGGAGGTGGCACCATCTCACCGTGTGTGTCCTTTTCTCAGCAACTTCCTAGACACCTCTGATGATCACTGAAAGACTACCGGTATGTCACTGGGTTTCTTGTTCATTTTTATTTACCTCTTTTAACATTTCTGTACAGAGAATTTACTCTTGGTGGCGTAGTTACCTGATTTTTGACAAATGCAGAGTTGTGTACCTGCTACAACAATCCAGATGCAGAATAGAGCCATCGTTTCAAAAGACCCCTTGCGCTGGTCTTTTGTGGTCCCGAAGGAAGTTTTGTACATAGTCCGTGCCGAGCAGCTCTGCCCTAATCTACTGGCCCATAGTAGCCCCTGTCTCACCTGACAGTGATTAAACTCCTGTGTGTATAGAAATAACCATGAGGATGTGTTAAAATGCAGGCTCTGGGCCCTACTGCCCAAGCTCAGGATTCCAAGGCAAAGGCGTGCTTCTGGGGACTGTGATACTGTCGGTCCTCTGACCTCGGAGGTAGTGACTACAAGAATGGCTGAAATTCTGCACCCCTCCTTCTATCCAGGCTCTTTGCAATGTGACGGCAGCTCCCTCCATGAAGAGGCGGGGTCTATTTCCCTACTTGCTTAGGCAACAAGCTACAGTGAAACTGACCGTGTACCGGCAGAGGTCTTGCTTGTTCCCACACTCTCCTGGGAACCTTGCGCTGGGCCTTGTGAGCGAGCCGGCTGACCTGCTGGCTAAGGAGCAGCCTCCAGCCTGATCCCCAGCAGCACCGCAGACAGCAGCGAGTCAGGCACAGAAGTGAGGCCATCCGAGAGCCGCCAGCCCCAGCTGGCCACTGCAGACACCTGAGCCTACCAGCCAACATCACAGAAGCCTGGCTCAGCTGACTCATACACTCAGGAGCAAGAAGAAGTGTTTACTGTTTTAAGCCAGGAGGATTAGTGATTTGTTACGCAGCATCAGCCAGCCGATACACCTTAGTTCTGATGCTCTTCGCCTGAGAAATAAATACTCCTTTATCTCTTCCTGCCCACTTCCCCTGGCCACCATCATAACCGAAGCTTCCATGTCCTGTTCATACTGCAGTGGTCCCCCACCTGTCCCCCCTCTGCTGTCATGCCCCACCTCCATGCACACGGCTGCTGCTAAGACCCTATTCCTTAAAGTCACTTATGTATTCCTGTCATCTAGCATCGTGCCTGGGACCCCCCGCAGGCGCTCTGTCCTCGTCTGTGGAACGCCTGCGGCCAGATCCATGACACACAGCTCCGCGCACATCACTCCCCACGCGGAACACGGGCACTGACGCCAGACACCCATCCACTTTCTGCCGGGCTGGCTAATTCCAGGACCGTGATCTGGCCCGGCCTCGCTCCCCACTCTTCCTCCCCTTCCTCTCCGAAAGCTCCGGTCCAGATGAGGGCTGGCTGACCACGCCGCTCATCTGTGTCTGTGCCCAGTCTGATGCCCACCTGGACGGCCTTTCCACTTCCCTGCACGCTCTATGCATTCTTGAAGGTCCAGTCCAAATGCCAGCTCCCCTGTGACACTTGGGCACCCCCACCCGTACATCCAGCCCTCTGCCTGAGCCTCTGTAGGCACCTGGTATTATGTGCCCTGGGCGCTGGCACCCAGCAGATGCCCCCACCAGACGGTGAACTTTCCGAGGGCAGACTGCATCCTTTCCCTCTCTGTACTCACTGGTGAGCCTAAAGCAGCACAGACAGCATAGCCTATGCTGATGCTTACTGCATAGGTGACCTTTAGTCACCACTAAAACAGCAAGCACGGTAACACCCGCACTCACGAGCCAAACCCAGAACAAAGATGGCAAAATAAAGGCAGTGGTTGTCGAAGAATCAGTTTGTCAGAGCATCTTCTGGAAAGCCAGTTAAAAATACAAATTCCTAGCCCTGGCCGGTTTGGCTGAGCGGTTAGAGCATCGGCCCGCAGACCAGAGTCGCAGGCTGGATTCTGGTCAAGGGCTTGGACCTCAGCTGTGGTTCGGTGTCCAGCCCTGGTCGGGGTCGTACTGGAGACAACCAAGTGATGTGTCCCTCTCTCCCTCTCTCTCTCTCCCCCACTCTATCTGAAGATAAATGAAAAAACACCCTCGGGGGAGGATTAAAAACAACAACAACAACAAATTCCTAGACCCCACCCACAGAGAGACGGGTTAGTTCAGGAGGTCTGGCTGGAACCCTGAGATTGAATTCCTAACAAGCTGTCCATGTGATTTCCAGGAAGGTCGTGGGCATCGCTGACAGTGACAGAGAGCCTGCTTTTCAGACACGAATCCCAAAGTAAGTCCCTTTTTCATGCACCTAAGTTGTTTTTGCCCCCCCCCCCCCCCCGCCCCGAACAAGAATCTATTCCCTACATCTACTGAAAGGAGCACCTAAGCGTTTTTTTAAGTTTCTTAACTTCAGTGTCAAAGCACAGAGGGCAGCAGGCCTATTAAAACCCGCTTGTCATCACGGTGTGCACACATTTTCTCATCTCCACACCCTTTCGAAAACTATCTGAAGTTTAATTGCCACGAGCAGTGCTCCCGGGCCCCTCGCCACGTGGGGCACGCAGTGAGGTGACACGGTGCGATGCGTACCTCGGTCCCAGAGGCTGGCCTGCAACGCTCTCTCCAGCTGCTCCTCCTCACTCAGTCCCGCTGTGTACGCGTCGTAGTTCCTGGGCGCCTCTGCGTGGTAGGTGGCGCGGCCGTGCGGGTAGTAATCCTGAAACCCAGGGTAGCCTGCGGGCACAGTGCAAGGTGACAGAGCATGGTCATGGACTGTTCTTCTCATGCTTCCTACTGTGTAAGCAGAGACAATACCACAAGCCATGTCATCACTGAGAATAGTGATAATCCTCGATAAGAAGGGAGGACGCGTGGAGGGCTCCTCCCTGGGGTGGGCAATGCCCGTCTCGCCACAGCTATCCACAGAGCTCGGCACGGGGCCGACGTGAGCAAGTCCTTCTGTGCTGAAGCGGACGAAGACAGTAATTGAGGAGGTGGTCAGTGGTACTGGAGAGGGGACCCACATGAGCTAATAACATAGAAATGGATTCTTTCAGCTTAGAGCCATTTAATACATGGAATGTTTTCAGTGACGTCCTATCTGGAGTCAAGGGAATGGTTGACATGCTGGTTGATAAAGGCTTACTGCCCAGTGGCTCCATGTAACGAGAGGAAGATAAACATTTGATACATATACATATCCTACAGGACTTCTGTGCTGGGCATGACACTTAGGGCAACAATAAGAATGTGAAGATATACACACCAATGTCTCTGTAATTATAATTCCCTAGCAGAGATCATAGTTTCTATTAATGGTACTTTTAAGAAATCAGTTACTAGATCAAACGAGAGAAGAGATAATCTGGTCGTTAAATAATGCTCAGGTACCAAACTTAGATACCAAATTAATAAAAGTCAATTACAGAGCCAAGTTCACTTTCACAAGGTATACCCATCAATCTTTTAACGACAGTTTGAGTTTATTCCTTACATTTTAACAGACCACTTTTAGGGAATTTGCTTGGAAGAGATTTTTTTTTCCTGTAGAAAATTACCTATCTAGTTCTGGTGTAATGGGAGAGAAGTAACAGTCTGTTTAATTTTTCCCCTTCTTTTACACCCTTTGAAGATGATGTTTTTCAAATGTTTAATTCATGTGCTTTTTGTTGTTGATGAAAATCCCTACCCTTTACTATAAGTCTTGTGTCATGTGTCACCATACCAACCAGCATCACAGTATATGCCTGGGTTTAAGCTTCTTATTGCTTTAATAAGACTGTAGAAAAAAAAAACCAAAACCATCACAATCAAGCCAAGAAGAGGAACACTATAGGGTAGAATCTGAAAATATTCAGAATTTTTGATAATTGGTCCTGAAGCTATTTTAAAATGTACTTTTGTGTTGGTTATAAATAAAAGGCTTTCCTAACATACAAGGTGGGGAGGATTTAACTATTTCCCATAAGAATTTCAGGCACTAAAAGGTTTTATTTTCACATAAACAAGGAAACAATGTAACACACTGATCTAGCTTCAGCTAACATCCTAATGTAATTATATGTGTTTATGAAAATATTTGTCATATAAAGTATTTGTGTCTCTTGATTATGTTTTTATAGCAGCTTTATTGAGATGTAATTGACATCCTATGCAATTCACCAATTTAAAGTATATAACTCAGTGGCTTTTAGTATATTCACAGAGTTGTGTCATCATCACCATAATCAATTTTAGGACATTTGCAGCACCTCCCAGAAGAAACCTCAGCCTTTAGCCATCACCTCCCTCCACCTCTCCCAGCCTTAAGTAACCACTAATCTACTTTCTATTTCTATAGTTATGCCTACTCTGGACAATTATACAAACTGAATCATATGATATGTGGTATTTTGTGTCTAGTTTATTTCACTTAGCATAATGTTTTCAAGGTTCACCCATGTTGTAGCATAAATCAATACTTCATTCCTTTCCATGGCCCAATAATATTCCATCGTATGACTATACCACTTTATTCATTCACCAGTTGGTAAACATTTGGGTTACTTCCACCTTTAAGTATTGTGAATAATGCTGCCATAAACATCTGTGTACACCTTGTGTGGACATATGTATTCACTTCTCTGGGGTACATACCTAGGAGTGGAACTGCTGGGTCACATGGTCCTTCTGTTTAACCACTTGGAATTGTCAGACTGCTTTCCAAAGTGGTCGCACATTCTACATGCACCCAGCACATTCTACATGCACCCAGCGATGTTTAGGGATTCAGAATTCTCCACATCCTCGTCAACACTTGTTATTGTCTGTCTTTTTAATGACAGCCACCCTAGTGGGTGTAAGTGGTACCTCACTGTGGTTTTGCTATCTAACGATATGGAGCATCTTTTCATGTGCTTATGGGCCATCTGTGTATCTTTAGAGAAATGTCTACTCAGAGCCTTTGTCCACTCTTACTGACTAATACCACACTCTTCTCTCTTGGTACTATTTTACTGAACGTCCTTGAGAGTCACAAAAATGAATTATTTAAATAAAAACTAAATAGAATTGTTCATGATTTTTGGGACAGGCTAATTCTGACAAGCCTTGTTACCAATTTAGTACAAATTTGTGAGAATATACTAACTACCTCTAATTACCCAACTTCCACGTGGTCTCACGTTTCCCATGGCGGAATATAAACATCACGATATTGAAAGCAGGGCCAGGATGTAAGTCCATTTCCGAAGTCCTCACGATGGTTTAGGGCTAAAGTGGGTTCTGGACACAGTTTTAAACATGGATGCCCTTGCTCACTGGTTTCTACTCAACAGAACTATCAAAAAATTCAGCCCCCACTGCTGTGGGAAACACCCACCAACGAGTTTCATATCCTGGCAGACTGTGACACAGCTACAAATCCTGCTTCTATCCTTTACACACACACACACACACACACACACACACACACACACCCCTTCCATACAAGGACAAATGGCCAAACACAATCAGTATGTCTGCTTCACAAAGAACAAGAGAGAGGGACAACCATTCTAAAACATAATAGAATATTTCTGGATGAGTCCGTGAATACCATGGGATGCTTCGGCAACCCCTGAATAGCAGACTGCCCAATTCCCTAAGAGTGCCCAATTATTTTATTGCAACAAAAATGCATATTGGGCACTTTCCCATATGGCTTATTACCACTTTCAAACCCGAGGAAAGTCATTCTGTTACAGAATGTCTAAGCAGCATTTTTCTCTATTCTCGAACATGTTCAGCTAATTCGAAGTCCAAAATCACCTCAGAGCTCGGAATACCTATCTTGCACAGATACCAGAAATACCACATTCATCTATAGGGTTTTAATTTCAGGCAAGTTGGCTATAATTTGAGGCAGCATTTTCTTGATATAGAAAAACATTTTTCTTCATATTATTTCCTTCAAAAATAAAAAAAGGCCCAGTCTTAATGAAATAAAATCTACAACTCTAAACATCTGAATATTATAAAATCTAATTTGGTACTAGTCAGACAAAACATGGGGAGAGAGAAAGAGAAAGTTTTAGTGCCTTAAGTCAAAAGGATTCATGTGGTTAAAGGTTCCATATCATCATCCGTCATAAACCATCAAGACCAAAACTCCCATCCACATCTATTATAATGAGAACAGGTCTCCTAGGACCAAAAATCTTCTACAGCTGTTCCACTGGCCCAATCAGATATTTTTAAATCTTCATAATAAACACGGCTGGGAAAACCTAACAATCAAACACTTAAGATGAATACGTTTAAATTATATCCTGTGATGAATGCTACTTTAATATTCTTTTGTAGCTATATACTTTGGCTGTGTAGTCAAAGAAATTCTGGTTATCGTTATTCTATTAACTACTCCTCCATCTGTTCCTTATACACATACCAGGACTTCATGGCAAAAGAGATCAAGAAACACCACCAAGATTAGAAAAATTGGTAGCAGCTTTTTAAACATTCATGAGGTTCTTTGACCTATAAAGACTTTTCTAGCTAAGGACGGCCATAGTAGGAATAAATCATTGCTTGTAAGAGATACATATGCTCTCACGAAAGCTCCCTCGCTGACCATTAGCTCGGCCACCTGGCCTCATGTAGGTCTGCTTTTAAAGAAATCCAATCCCTTCAGAGGAAGGAGTATAAATATGGTAATCTTACCGGGGGTAAGAAGAAAGGTAAAAGGAGCTTTTATTTTCGCCTCTAATTCCCTGGTCTGTGCGTCTGCTGTGTTTATGCCTGTTCCATAGGAAGCAAGAAAGGAGCAAGTCGCCCCCCGCCCCCACCTTTTCTTTAGTAAGCGCAATAAAAAGGGGAGGAAAAGATAATACGGGGAACTGCTCTATTTTGCGAGGTTAAAGCAGCAGACTGCCCATCTCACCTCGCTGTCCAAGAGCAGGGGCTAGGAATCGGCGGCCTGTGTGTGCAGTCCTGGTTCTAGCACTAACAGCCTGTTTGACTTACAAATTAACATTTCTAACCCTCCCTTGCCCAGTTGTCACATGGGTATCGGACTAAGGATCTAGGAGAGTTTAAGCCATGTCTGTGCACAGATACGTTTTTCTTATTCTTTCTGTCTGGAGGAGCGTTCCTGTTTCATTGGGGACTTTTTAAAAATTAACCAGGAGAGAAGCGATTTCTCCTCTAGCTACTTCAAGGTGTTAGAGGCCATGTCGCCTGTCCAGTGGAGGGAATAAAGTCACTGCGAAGAGAGAAATCTCCACGGAGGTAGAACCAAAGTGGTCTCCTTATCCAACCCAGTTCTTCCTAGTCATGTGGGCCGATAAAGCCCTATTATACTTAAACAAGTGTACATTGTTCTCCATACCCAACAGTCAGAAGGACCCACTGCCCTTCCAAATGACCCTTGAACAATGCTGGGGTGAGGAACACTGGCCTACCCCGCACCCCATGTAGTAAAAAAGCTGCATATAACTTTTGACTCCCCAAAACCTTAACTACTAATAGCCTACTGCGGACTGGAAGTTTTACTGTTAACATAAACAGTTGATGAACACATATTTGGGATGTGGTGTGTATCATACACTGTATTCTTACAATAAGCTAAATTAGAGAGAAGAAAATGTTATTAAGAAAATATCCACAGAGAGAAAATACATTTATAGTACTGCATGTGTTTACTGAAAAAAGTCCACGCATCAGTGGACCTGCGCAGTTCAAACGTGTTGCTCCAGGGTCAGCTGCGTTTGGCATGTGTGCCGATAACCGATCATGCGCCTCGTGCTTCGCTGAGTCCCGACAACGGAAGGCGCTGCCAGTGTCCAGCGACCGTTCTCTCCTGCACAGAGGCCCCGTTTCTAGGATTTCACGCGTCCACATCAGCTCTGGAAGCTCAGAAGTGTGGCCTGTCAGCTGGCCAGTGTGCTCAGTGGCTGGGCGCTGACCCTGAACCAAGGCATCACTGGTTCGATTCCCGGTCAGGACACATGCCCTGGTTGTGGGCTCGATCCCCAGTGGGGGGCATGCAGGAGGAGGCCAATCGACGGTCCCTCTCTCACTGATGTTTCTCTCTCTCTCTCTCTCTCTCTCTTTAAAATAGATAAAGAAAAAAAAAATTTTTTTAAAGCCTTTCTTCTTGGGGCAACAACAGTCTCCACCTCTGTAGTCCCCAAACCTAGGTAACCCCCATCAGGTAAGCCTATGATTGTTGTGACTGACCCCATTAGAATCACCATCAGAATCACCCATTTAAAAAAGTGTCCGAGTCCGGTTGCAGTTTGTCCCCAGCCCTGGTTGGGTCGTGCGGGTGGCAACCACTCAATGTGTCCCTTTCGTGTCAATGTTTCTCTCTCGCCCTCCTACTCTATCTGAACAAAATGTCAAAAGGTGTCCTCGGGTGAGGATTAAAAAAAAAAAAAGTGTCCGAGTCCCTGTCTCTATCCCTATTCAGACTCAGCTGGCCTGGGGTGAATTCGAGGCAAGGATATGTTGTAACAGCTCCTCAGTGGATTCATGCAGACAGCTAGGATCGATATTCATGATCCCAGGCTTTAGAACTACATCAAAAACATAGCTTGGCTGTAACTCCAACAACATCACTCTACTGATTACATCCTTCCGTGGCACCAGGACGCACTCTGGATAATTCCAAGCAGGCGTTCTCATGCCGGCCTGAAGAGCCCTTTCTGCCCGTGCTTTCCTTAACGTCTACTCATCATGGAGCGCCCCCCCGGGCCACCTCCAGGAACTGCAGCCCACTGCTCCCTCCCAGGCTGAGCACTGAAGACGCTCCGCTCAGGTTGAGGACAGACTTCTCCTTCTGCCAGAAGGAAGGAACTGGACCAGCCCTCGGCCATAATCAAGCAGAAGACTGGAGAAAACATATGAAGTGAATGTTCACAGGCTGCACAACAGGCAGTGCATGATTCTGAACCTTTAGAGAAACGAAGTAAAGGGATGGCCTGAGGCACTTTCTGGCCCCGGTACAGGGATGGGGAACTCAAGCAGCCGCAGCAGGCCCCCTGCATGGCGTTGGAATTTACAGGCCAAGGACAGCCAAGGAGAAAACTATGGGTACAGAGAAACCTCCAGAAATCTGCACGGAGTCCCCCTGGAGACTTGCTGACTCTTAAGCCATGTGTGTGCACAGGTCCCATTCCACGAGGCCAGGCCAGGAGTGACCGACAGCTCTAAGCTGAACAGCTCCCGGCACCAGGCAGGACTGGGAGGCGTCTGCGTGCCAGCCAGCAGGCCGGGAGTCCTTGCTGAACAAACACATCCGGGAGAGATCCCGGAAAAGATAACTAACTCAGTAGTAGTGCAGAACTAACCCTAAAAAATTACTACAGGACTACCCTAAGTAACTTTAAAACAAGCCCCAGCAGGGCCAAACTAATCATCAAGGAGCTTAACTGGATGCCAGAACAAAGCCCAGTTTTCCTTAAAAGAAGGTAAACTCCAGCGCTCAGAGCGACAATGTATGTCATGTCTGGCGTCCAATCACATCTTACCAGATACGCAAAAACTGTGACCCACGACCAGGAGAAAAATCAATCTAATGAAACAGGTGCAAAGAAGTACATCGAGAGGGGACAGAATGCAGAGTCAGGGACTGCAAGATAGCTATTGTAACCATGCTCATGGTAATACAGGAGTAACGAGGAGAAAAACGGAGGCTATAAGCCAGGTGTCAAAAAGCTACAACCTGTGGTTCAAAATCCACCCAGTGCCTACTTTTGTAAATAAGGTGCTACTGGAACACAGCCACACTCATTTGTTTTTAAGTTTCCAATGGTTGATTTCACAGCTACAGTAACAGGTTGACAAGTTGTGACAGAGACCATATATATGGCCAATAGAACCCTTAGCATCTAACCCATGAGCTCCCTGGTGCTTTACAGGAAAGACCGCAGGCGCAGATTTAAGCTACAGCAGTTTTCAGTGGGCACGACTATAGGACACCCAGTGCTTCCATGGCCTATGGCTTCTTGAAGACCTGCTTCTGCGGGCTCAGGACATCACAGGGCAGCCTCCCCAGGCTGGAATGTCAGGACCTTAGCCTCAAACAGTCACATGCTTTAACTGGAAGTCCTTTCTCCCTATTTACACAGATACAGAAAGTCATATGGTAAGAACTACCAGAGGAATGCCTGTCTTAGGATAAACATGATTGTTCCTGAGTGTGCAGTTGGGGTGAACTAGCGAGAACTGTGCATCCAAAACTGACTCCTAACACGTAGCCAGTGATAGGTTCTCTCAGGCTGAGAATAAAGGGACCTGGGTCTGGTGTGAATCTTACCATGTCTGAGAGGCCTCATACTAATGGTACAATGTTTGCATGTCATTGTTATCTCCCTTCCTGGGGTTCCCCACTGACCCACCCAGATATGCTCCCTGGGCTACCCTCCACCTAGCTTTCAGACATGTCAGAGGGAGGCACGGTTACATAACATGTCAACTACTCTACAACAGCATAAACTAGCATTACCTTAAAGGCTTCCACATGGATGACGAACACTATAATTTTTTTTAATAAGTTAAAATTTATTAAAAAAATAAAGTGCTTACCTGAATTATTAAAGTACGGTCGCTGTCCTGGGTAACCATTACTGGAGGAAAAAATGCCTAGATGTGAAGGAAACAAACATTTTAATAGTGGCCATAGCTTGTTCTACACAACCCCCCCCCCACCCCGTTTTATTGAGGTATAACTGACAAATGAAAAATTGTATATATTTAGGTCATGCAATGTGATTTTTTAAAAGTTGTACATGTGATGATTTAAAATACATATACATTATGAAATGATTGCCATAATCAAGTTAATTCACACATCCATCACCTCCAAGTTACCTTATTCAGTGCATGTGTAAGAATTCTTAAAATCGACTCTCAGTAGATTTCAAGTATATAACACAGTAGTAACTACAGTCGCGATGCTATACATCAGATCCTCAGAGCTTACTCCTCTTATAACTGGAAGTTCGTACCTTTGACCTAGGTCTCCCCACTTTCCCCAGCCTCTGGCTACCACGGTTCTACTCTCTGGCCTATGAGTTTGAATGTTTTAGATTCCACACCCACGTAAGATCACACAGTATTTGCCTTTCTCTTTCTGGCTTATTTCAACATAATGTAAAGTCATCCAGGTTCATCTATTCTGTTGCAAATAGCAGGATTTCCTTCTTTTTATGGTTGAATAATATTTCATTGTGTACATATATGTCACTGTGTATGTAAAGTTATATCATTGTGCACATATATATCTCATATATATGTGAGATATCTATATCTATTTATTTATCTATCAGCCTACCTACCTATCTACATTTATAGCTCGCAATGCCTTTAACCATTCATCCATCAACACACACTTGGCTACTATCAGTAACGCTGTAATGAGCATGAGAGCAGAGAGCTCTTTGAGATGCTGATTTCACTTCCTTTGGACATATGCTCAGAGGCAGAACTGATGGATCATACGGTAGTTCCATTTTTAAATCTTTGGAGAACCTCCATACTCTTTTCCTCCACAATGACTGTACGAATTTACAATACCCACCAATGGGTAACAGGGTTCCCTTTTCTCCACATTCTCACCAATACTTACTTACCTCTTATCTTTTTGATAACAGCCATCCTAGCACTTACTGACTTCAAACTATATTGCAAAGCTATAGTAATCAAAACAGTGTGGTGTATTGGCATAAAACCAGACACATAGACCAATGGAACAGAATAGCCATAGGCTTTAACAGCCAATCTTTCCAGTTAGGAGCTTCTCTATAACAAAGTCCAAGGATCATTTCAAATGACTTCTAAACAATTGTTAAAATGAACTCTCTTTTGTTTGTGGCCTGCATTAGAACACGTAGGAGACAATGAAACCCTAACTTAAACTCTCGGAAGTTCTTTAAAGGTCCTGTTGATAGTCTTTGCTTTCCAAAGTACCAAGCTTGGGCTTTGAGACCTCTGTACAAGTAGAGATGCTCTGGCTATAGAGAGAATTTGCCCTCAACAGGACTGTTAGAAGAGCCATGCTCCTTACCCTTCTTAAGAGACTTTCCCTTTCTTGTCCTTAACAGGGCAGTAGGACAGGCCATTCAGCACTGCTGAAGGAAGAGAGAGAGGAAGGAGTCACAGGACATGCCTTCAAAGTGATGCTCCTCTTCCAGGAGTAATCAGACAGCACTCTGCGTGTGGTTGGTTATTTTCCCAGGGGTCCTGTGTCAACTCAATTCCCAGATCACTCTAGATCTCTAGATCCTCCAGATCTCTCTCTGGCTTTCCCCAAACAAAGGGCACAGAGATCACAGGCTATTGTAAACAGCACTGAATGCTTGTTTCAACTTTCATTTTCTATTGTATTTTCTATTTTCCTTTGAAAATAGAATGATGTAGAAATATGTCTCCATAAAAGAAAGGCAAGGTTTTAAGAATGAAAGCCGAGAGTTTAAGTATTATAATTACAGGGGAAATCATCTTTACACACAAAACACTTGCCTACATTTTGTAATGTGTGCAAAAAAGCATTACTAACCACTTAATCTGCAGACACACATAGAAAAATGAAACAAAACATTAAAATCTTTTTTTTTTTTATCAGAATTGAGAGCACTTGGGCAACAAAGCTTATTACTAGATTTCCATTATTAGGTTGCATCAGAAATATAGTAAAACTGGACATTTTCAATAAATGAAGCGCCCACTGCCTCCTCCAAGCCGACGTGTGCACTGGAAACACAGGAATAAGCACATGTAGAAAAACGGGATCTGCTTAGATGCAGCGCAGCCCGTAAAAATCACCCAGAAGCGAACACCATCTGCTAACGGGGGAACAGCCAGTGCCTGGAAGGCTCTCGAACACCATGAGCATTCGATGCTTCTCGAGAACATCCGTCCTCGCCACAAACTGTGCAAACAAATCATGTGTGGTTCAAGAAAAGGTAAAATAGTCTCAGAAGATTTCCCATGAATAAAAGATGAAATATTGGAACCCATATGGCCTTTAAAACTAGTGTTTGCAAAACAGTGTCCTTAAAAGTCATAAGCAGTGTCGATTTTAAATTGAGGTCTACAAAAATTCATCTATTTCTAAATAAAGTGTTTTTATGGAGCATCAACATGAAGAAAACAAAAAAGAAAAGAAAAACAATTTTTGTGAACGCAGGAGCCAAGCTTTAAGCAGTAACAGACTTGGCTTGGCCCGGCATGAACATGTCTCTCCCGCCGAGGACCTGGTGGTCACTGAATTCTTTCAAATACTGGCTTTGCACTTTGTACAGATTTTTCTTTTTCTTGCACGTATACGGATTCACAGAATATTGTCGCGTGATGCATGACTTTCCGCCCGCATCAGTTCCGTGCACTGTCAAGACCAGCGCGGTTCTCCGTGAGCAGCACTTGTGCCGCGGGCATACACATACACTGCTGTTTGTCCCCTAAGAAAGCCTGGGTTTAGAACTGGGTTTGCAGCCTCTCTGGAGCTGAGTGAGGAGCCGCACCAGCGGCTACACTTCTTGGAAGTTTAGGAAGAGACTACTGGCAATTCCTGCGCAGAACCACAGGGGAACTTGGGCTTGCTTCTGCCCCGTGAAAATGAAGATGAACTTCCAACTTGTCACACCACAGGGGTTTCGTACCGTACCTGCACAGGTCTCCATGATTTTCTTCAGAGGTCCATGAGTGTACAGGAGTCCAACGAGAATCCCGGCCAGATGCCCGGCGAAGGAGGTCCTGGGAGAGAAGGAGACCCTCTGTGAGTGTGTGTTGCGAAGGAGGTCCTGGGAGAGAAGGACACCCTCTGTGAGTGTGTGTTGGAAGGAGGTCCTGGGAGAGAAGGAGACCCTCTGTGAGTGTGTGTTGGAAGGAGGTCCTGGGAGAGAAGGAGACCCTCTGTGAGTGTGTGTTGGAAGGAGGTCCTGGGAGAGAAGGAGACCCTCTGTGAGTGTGTGTTGCGAAGGAGGTCCTGGGAGAGAAGGACACCCTCTGTGAGTGTGTGTTGGAAGGAGGTCCTCGGAGAGAAGGACACCCTCTGTGAGTGTGTGTTGGAAGGAGGTCCTGGGAGAGAAGGACACCCTCTGTGAGTGTGTGTTGGAAGGAGGTCCTGGGAGAGAAGGAGACCCTCTGTGAGTGTGTGTTGCGAAGGAGGTCCTGGGAGAGAAGGAGACCCTCTGTGCGGGTGGGATGGAAGGAGGTCCTGGGAGAGAAGGACACCCTCTGTGAGTGTGTGTTGGAAGGAGGTCCTAGGAGAGAAGGAGACCCTCTGTGAGTGTGTGTTGGAAGGAGGTCCTGGGAGAGAAGGAGACCCTCTGTGAGTGTGTGTTGGAAGGAGGTCCTAGGAGAGAAGGAGACCCTCTGTGAGTGTGTGTTGCGAAGGGGGTCCTGGGAGAGAAGGAGACCCTCTGTGAGTGTGTGTTGGAAGGAGGTCCTGGGAGAGAAGGAGACCCTCTGTGAGTGTGTGTTGGAAGGAGGTCCTGGGAGAGAAGGAGACCCTCTGTGAGTGTGTGTTGGAAGGAGGTCCTGGGAGAGAAGGAGACCCTCTGTGAGTGTGTGTTGGAAGGAGGTCCTGGGAGAGAAGGAGACCCTCTGTGAGTGTGTGTTGGAAGGAGGTCCTGGGAGAGAAGGACACCCTCTGTGAGTGTGTGTTGGAAGGAGGTCCTGGGAGAGAAGGAGACCCTCTGTGAGTGTGTGTTGGAAGGAGGTCCTGGGAGAGAAGGAGACCCTCTGTGAGTGTGTGTTGGAAGGAGGTCCTGGGAGAGAAGGACACCCTCTGTGAGTGTGTGTTGGAAGGAGGTCCTGGGAGAGAAGGAGACCCTCTGTGAGTGTGTGTTGGAAGGAGGTCCTGGGAGAGAAGGAGACCCTCTGTGAGTGTGTGTTGGAAGGAGGTCCTGGGAGAGAAGGAGACCCTCTGTGAGTGTGTGTTGGAAGGAGGTCCTGGGAGAGAAGGACACCCTCTGTGAGTGTGTGTTGTGAAGGAGGTCCTGGGAGAGAAGGAGACCCTCTGTGAGTGTGTGTTGGAAGGAGGTCCTGGGAGAGAAGGAGACCCTCTGTGAGTGTGTGTTGTGAAGGAGGTCCTAGGAGAGAAGGACACCCTCTGTGAGTGTGTGTTGTGAAGGAGGTCCTGGGAGAGAAGGAGACCCTCTGTGAGTGTGTGTTGGAAGGAGGTCCTGGGAGAGAAGGAGACCCTCTGTGAGTGTGTGTTGGAAGGAGGTCCTGGGAGAGAAGGAGACCCTCTGTGAGTGTGTGTTGGAAGGAGGTCCTGGGAGAGAAGGAGACCCTCTGTGAGTGTGGGTTGGAAGGAGGTCCTGGGAGAGAAGGAGACCCTCTGTGAGTGTGTGTTGGAAGGAGGTCCTGGGAGAGAAGGAGACCCTCTGTGAGTGTGTGTTGGAAGGAGGTCCTGGGAGAGAAGGACACCCTCTGTGAGTGTGTGTTGTGAAGGAGGTCCTGGGAGAGAAGGAGACCCTCTGTGAGTGTGTGTTGGAAGGAGGTCCTGGGAGAGAAGGAGACCCTCTGTGAGTGTGTGTTGTGAAGGAGGTCCTAGGAGAGAAGGACACCCTCTGTGAGTGTGTGTTGTGAAGGAGGTCCTGGGAGAGAAGGAGACCCTCTGTGAGTGTGTGTTGGAAGGAGGTCCTGGGAGAGAAGGAGACCCTCTGTGAGTGTGTGTTGGAAGGAGGTCCTGGGAGAGAAGGAGACCCTCTGTGAGTGTGTGTTGGAAGGAGGTCCTGGGAGAGAAGGAGACCCTCTGTGAGTGTGTGTTGTGAAGGGGGTCCTGGGAGAGAAGGACACCCTCTGTGAGTGTGTGTTGGAAGGAGGTCCTGGGAGAGAAGGAGACCCTCTGTGAGTGTGTGTTGGAAGGAGGTCCTGGGAGAGAAGGAGACCCTCTGTGAGTTTGTGTTGGAAGGAGGTCCTGGGAGAGAAGGAGACCCTCTGTGAGTGTGTGTTGTGAAGGAGGTCCTGGGAGAGAAGGACACCCTCTGTGAGTGTGTGTTGGAAGGAGGTCCTGGGAGAGAAGGACACCCTCTGTGAGTGTGTGTTGGAAGGAGGTCCTGGGAGAGAAGGAGACCCTCTGTGAGTGTGTGTTGGAAGGAGGTCCTGGGAGAGAAGGACACCCTCTGTGAGTGTGTGTTGGAAGGAGGTCCTGGGAGAGAAGGAGACCCTCTGTGAGTGTGTGTTGTGAAGGAGGTCCTGGGAGAGAAGGAGACCCTCTGTGAGTGTGTGTTGGAAGGAGGTCCTGGGAGAGAAGGAGACCCTCTGTGAGTGTGTGTTGTGAAGGAGGTCCTGGGAGAGAAGGAGACCCTCTGTGAGTGTGTGTTGGAAGGAGGTCCTGGGAGAGAAGGACACCCTCTGTGAGTGTGTGTTGCGAAGGAGGTCCTGGGAGAGAAGGAGACCCTCTGTGAGTGTGTGTTGGAAGGAGGTCCTGGGAGAGAAGGAGACCCTCTGTGAGTGTGTGTTGCGAAGGAGGTCCTGGGAGAGAAGGAGACCCTCTGTGAGTGTGTGTTGGAAGGAGGTCCTGGGAGAGAAGGAGACCCTCTGTGAGTGTGTGTTGTGAAGGAGGTCCTGGGAGAGAAGGAGACCCTCTGTGACTGTGTGTTGGAAGGAGGTCCTGGGAGAGAAGGACACCCTCTGTGAGTGTGTGTTGTGAAGGGGGTCCTGGGAGAGAAGGACACCCTCTGTGAGTGTGTGTTGGAAGGAGGTCCTAGGAGAGAAGGAGACCCTCTGTGAGTTTGTGTTGTGAAGGAGGTCCTGGGAGAGAAGGACACCCTCTGTGAGTGTGTGTTGTGAAGGAGGTCCTGGGAGAGAAGGACACCCTCTGTGAGTGTGTGTTGCGAAGGAGGTCCTGGGAGAGAAGGACACCCTCTGTGAGTGTGTGTTGGAAGGAGGTCCTGGGAGAGAAGGAGACCCTCTGTGAGTGTGTGTTGGAAGGAGGTCCTGGGAGAGAAGGAGACCCTCTGTGAGTGTGTGTTGTGAAGGGGGTCCTGGGAGAGAAGGAGACCCTCTGTCAGTGTGTGTTGGAAGGAGGTCCTGGGAGAGAAGGAGACCCTCTGTGAGTGTGTGTTGGAAGGAGGTCCTGGGAGAGAAGGAGACCCTCTGTGAGTGTGTGTTGGAAGGAGGTCCTGGGAGAGAAGGAGACCCTCTGTGAGTGTGTGTTGGAAGGAGGTCCTGGGAGAGAAGGAACCCTCTGTGAGTGTGTGTTGGAAGGAGGTCCTGGGAGAGAAGGAGACCCTCTGTGAGTGTGTGTGTTGGAAGGAGGTCCTGGGAGAGAAGGAGACCCTCTGTGAGTGTGTGTTGGAAGGAGGTCCTGGGAGAGAAGGAGACCCTCTGTGAGTGTGTGTTGGAAGGAGGTCCTGGGAGAGAAGGAGACCCTCTGTCGAGTGTGTGTTGGAAGGAGGTCCTGGGAGAGAAGGAGACCCTCTGTGAGTGTGTGTTGGAAGGAGGTCCTGGGAGAGAAGGAGACCCTCTGTGAGTGTGTGTTGGAAGGAGGTCCTGGGAGAGAAGGAGACCCTCTGTGAGTGTGTGTTGGAAGGAGGTCCTGGGAGAGAAGGAGACCCTCTGTGAGTGTGTGTTGGAAGGAGGTCCTGGGAGAGAAGGAGACCCTCTGTGAGTGTGTGTTGGAAGGAGGTCCTGGGAGAGAAGGAGACCCTCTGTGAGTGTGTGTTGGAAGGAGGTCCTGGGAGAGAAGGAGACCCTCTGTGAGTGTGTGTTGGAAGGAGGTCCTGGGAGAGAAGGAGACCCTCTGTGAGTGTGTGTTGTGAAGGAGGTCCTGGGAGAGAAGGAGACCCTCTGTGAGTGTGTGTTGGAAGGAGGTCCTGGGAGAGAAGGAGACCCTCTGTGAGTGTGTGTTGGAAGGAGGTCCTGGGAGAGAAGGAGACCCCTCTGTGAGTGTGTGTTGCGAAGGAGGTCCTGGGAGAGAAGGAGACCCTCTGTGAGTGTGTGTTGGAAGGAGGTCCTGGGAGAGAAGGAGACCCTCTGTGAGTGTGTGTTGGAAGGAGGGGTCCTGGGAGAGAAGAGACCCTCTGTGAGTGTGTGTTGCGAAGGAGGGTCCTGGAGAGAAGGAGACCCTCTGTGAGTGTGTGTTTGGAAGGAGGTCCTGGGAGAGAAGGAGAACCCTCTGTGAGTGTGTGTTGGAAGGAGGTCCTGGGAGAGAAGGAGACCCCTGTGAGTGTGTGTTGTGAAGGAGGTCCTGGAGAGAAGAGACCCTCTGTGAGTGTGTGTTGTGAAGGAGTCCTGGGAGAGAAGGAGACCCTCTGTGAGTGGGTGTTGCGAAGGAGGTCCTGGGAGAGAAGAGACCCTCTGTGAGTGTGTGTTGGAAGGGGTCCTGGGAGAGAAGGAGACCCTCTGTGAGTGTGTTTGTGAAGGAGGGTCCTGGAGAGAAGGAGACCCTCTGTGAGTGGTGTGTTGCGAGGAGGTCCTGGAGAGAAGAGACCTCTGTGAGTGTGAGTCCTGGGAGAGAAGGATGACCTGGGAGAGAAGGAGGACCCTCTGTGAGTGTGTGTTGGAAGGAGGTCCTGGGAGAGAGAGGAGACCCTCTGTGAGTGTGTGTTGGAAGGAGGTCCTGGGAGAGAAGGAGACCCTCTGTGAGTGTGTGTTGGAAGGAGGTCCTGGGAGAGAAGGAGACCCTCTGTGAGTGTGTGTTGCGAGGAGGTCCTGGGAGAGAAGGAGACCCTCTGTGAGTGTGTGTTGGAAGGAGGTCCTGGAGAGAAGGAGACCCTCTGTGAGTGTGTGTTGCGAAGGGG